ATAAAAATATTAATTTTTAAATAAGTTATTTTAAAATATTTAAAATTATTATAAATAATTTTAATTATTAAATAAAATTACAGGCAAATTTGTTTGCAATATACTTGAAGAGATAAGAAGAATTTAGATAATCTAAAGAAAATTAATGATAATACTTAAATATAATAGTATTTGAAATAAAAAGCTAATTATAATTGTAATTTTAACTTTTATTTAATATAATATTAAAGAAAAAATTTATAAAACTAACTTATTTTCTCTAAAAATAATGAATTTTAGTTTAAAGTATTTTTTTTTTAAAAAAAAGTTAATTTTAAAAAGTAAAAATTTTAAGCAAACTTAACAATTTACTATTGATTTACTATTGATTCAAAAATTAATTTAAAATTAATTTAGAATTTAGATTTTAAAAACATAAAAATGAAAATATTCTAATCAAAATTTTTATTTTTTTTATTATAAAATCAATCTTTTAACAATATTATTTTACTTTATTATAGATTTGCAATTACTATTAAAATTTGTCTTATATAAATAAATATAATTTTAATCATTTAATGATAAAATCAACAAAGTTTAATTAGCTATGTATTAATTTTTATTAAAATAGATTTAATATTTTATTTTATAATTATAATTAATTTTAAATTAGTAATTATTAATATATTATATTATAAATTTTTAATACTAATAATAAAGATATTTTGTATTTTATTAAAATAGATAATAATAAATATAAAGTTATAAATTAGCAATTAAATATAAAAATAATAAGTTTTTTAGCATTATGATATAATATTTATTTACTCTAATCTTTTTATATAAAAAATACCTATAGTAATTTATATTCTAAATTATAAATATTTTTAGAAGCAAATAATTTAGTATAATGATTTAAAGATAATTATTTATAAAAAAGTTTAATAAAAAATGAAAATTATTATATAATTTATTCTATATTTATTTAATATATGATTTATTAAATTAAAAATTCTAAAAACTTAAAATATTATTAAAACTTAATATAATTAATGAAAAATTCTAATTAATAAATCCTATTTAGAACTTTTTACCATTAATAATAATATAAAGAGAATAAAATTTAAATTAAATATATTATGAAAAATTATAAAAAAGTAAAAGAAAGTTTAAAATTAAAAGAAAATATAAGATTATAATAATTAAAATAATTGATTATTGATAAGATTCTTTATAACATTATTTATAAATTTTTTTATTTAATTTTATAATAATAATTTTATAAAATGTATTAATTTTTAAATTTAAAAAAATTAAATTAGTATACTAAATTTTATAAATAATTAAAATTTTGAATTTTATTATTTTAATTTATTAAAATTAAAATTATTATTAATTAATTTAAAATAATAGTTTTATACTATATATTATTATTATTGTAATACTTCACTTGAATGATACCTCTGTCTTTTATTAACCTCACCATTACACCTAGGTTTCTCATTTTTTTGAAACAGAAGACCATGACATTGCAAACTTCATTTAAGAGATTTAAATCCCTTAGAATTTTTTCTCTCAGTAAGGTTCTGCAAATATTCAAATCACGATCTGAATGATCCTATCAAAATGAAGATTATTCAAACCTTTCTCGCAACTTAAATCTAGGAATGGAATGCTCCTAGTCGAATCAGATTCAGAATCATATTTCTCAACAATATCAAAGATCAAGATTAGTACATATAAAATACTAGAAAAAATGGTAAGTATCATGTATAAAGCATCGATGTCATTTTTCAAAATTAAATCGAGCAATAGTAGGACATACCTTGTTTTTATTTTTGTAAGAAATGCTCGATCATTCAGTTGATGGGATTGATAATGGATATGATGAATGTAAAGGTGATTAGCTTCATTTAAGCTTTTCATTTAATTTAAGCAGAGCAGATAAAAGGTTTAACTAAAAACTTACCTCCTTTTTATACGATTTGTAGTGGTCTAAGAATCAAATTTTTTATCTATTGGAATAACATAAATATCGTATCAATAGATTCACTTAAAATTACAACCCTATATGCAATACAAGGATACTCTGCGAGCTATTAATAATATAATAAAAGCCTTTAGTATATATGAAAAAGTTTGAGAAAAAAAGCTGGGCTTCAGCTGTGATGCAGATGATTTTATTGATTAATATGAGAAGTTTTCTCATTATAAACCATAATGATCGAGTTGATATGAAAATCTTGAAAATCAATGGGTACTGTAAAACCGAAAAAATTAGTAATCGACATGAGCTGAAAGGCAAATCTTGATTAATTGATTAACTACAATCTCACTACATAAAAGATTAATTTGCGGGAATATGTTTGATTTAATATGCCGTTTTGGCATTGTTTATTACTTAAAAAAGTATAGAAAATGAATTCCTACATTCTGATCCACTCATTTATAATAAATCAATATATAAAAAAATGTACAACAAAACGTACAAATAAAACAAATGAATGTCCATATTATGAGCTACGAAAAATACTTTTATCTATCATTTTTAATAAATTTTTCTATTCTAGCTCGCTTACTAGACGAACTGTTTTGAGTGGTTACCTTATCTCTCAGCAGTCTAACAATTATTCTTACTACTCGTTTTACACTTTTTCGTAGACTTTCTTTTTCTTCTTTAGCTGCAGATTTTGAGAGATTTATATTATATTCTATGCCACTCGTACAATATATATCATGAGTAGTGAAAAATAGAAAATGCTATTCTGTGACTAATATATAGATATAAGAATTAGTAACATGTATGATAGCCTTGACCAAACTTCTTAAAATTAATACTACCTGTTGAAACTATTCCGTATAGATAGTCATAATCATCTTTCTCAAATACTTGGTCAGCACTCTATTTTTTTGTTCATATAATAGGCTTCTTCAAGTTATTAATATTTTGCAGGTACTCTATTTTCACATTACGTGGTTTTCCCTCAAAAATACAAATGAGAGTTTTCAACGTTTTTATTGCATAATCTACTCACCCTGATGATTCTTCTCCAGAAACATCCTTTTGTAATGCTAAATAGATTTCTTCTTTACCTGTGAGCCTTCTAACAATAGCTATTGATGTATATAAAATACACAAAATAAATTTTACTTTGTTTGCGTCAGTTATAGTCTCTATATTATTTAGAACTAATATAATATGCTTCATACAATAATTGAACAATTCATCACTATCGTCAATTTCTTCAAAGATTTACAAAGAAAAAAATGGGTTATTAAATCTTAGACTTGCCTGAATCTACATCTGAGAAGCCAACTTACCTGGATTGAATTGTTTAATATTGGTAATATCTTCGCCATTAATCTTGTATTTTTTTAGGATCACTTTTAATTCTTCTATAGTTTTATAGGTTGAAAAACCTCTCAATTTTTGCTTTTTAATTTCCTTAATAAATTTTACAAGTCTTATTACTGATCCTATAGGTATTCCCAAATCTCGAAAAAGTTTTTTAGTAAATTTAAGAAAGTCAAAACTGGCAATTCTCTCATTACGAAAGACAGCAAAATTTGCATTCTCGAGTTTCAAGTCCTTCCTTCACAAATAATTGATAAGTTTCTCAGTGTCATAATCCTTAATTACATCTCCTATAATATGGATAATCACTTCTTCATTTGATAATATACTTGAGGGTGTAGAAGGTTCTGAAGACATAGTTTTCTTGAAAAAAAATGAAAAATCTGAGAAAATCATTTAACAATAGATATTATTATATAAAATTTGTCGCATAACCTAAACAACATGTGAGAAAATCAGCAACATAATTAAAATTTTCCAAATGTAGTACTGTGTATTTATTCTATAAGTTTCTATAAATCACGAGATGATCAGCCTTTTTGGCATTGTACTAAAAAACACTAGGCTTTACAATACTACATATAAAAAAGTGCAGAATTCAGGTATCATGTGACTGAAAAATCTGTGCTCATACTTCTAACTTGTGAAGCACCTTCTGGCCTAATCCAGTTAAATTTATCTTCCGAAAATTAATTGACATGGTAACAGGAACGCATGCACTGGTCCCGTTCAATTTTTGTAATATTATATTTATATAGTATTAATATCCTAATGTAGTAAATCTTGAAGGCGTAGTAATTTATTTATAAATTTTTACTTAACGATAAATTTTCCAGTCTTGTGATTTGCGTAAAATATTCGCATTTTAAAATATTTTATGCAAAATTTCATATCGCATATACTGTAAACAAAATAAATTAGTCAAGATGTCAATTATCAAAATATAAAATATCTAATTTAATCATATCTGGTAGTAAAAATGACTAATCGGAAAACTAAAGAAAAATTTGTTTCAGATATAATAAATATCAAAACAATTATACAAAGATAAAATAATCTTCTTAATTTCTAAAATAGTATTTTGACCTTTAAATCGTCTGATACTTGATGATAGAATCCTATTTAATTATTAATCACAAAGAAAATGGTTGTAATTATTTATCAATCGAACGTTCAATAACTTTTTTTCCATTACCATTTCTATTATATAAAGATAGAATAAATCTTATTTCGTTAGCTTCAAACTTTTTTTCTTTTTAAAATTTAATATAAATCTTTTTCTATTTTGATTATTCTTAGAAGTTTTAGATTCAAATGAGTTTCACAAAATTGATAACAATTCTTGTTATGATGAGTTGTTAATTTCACTTATTACTTTACATCATATAAATAAAAAATCTCCAGTTATTTATAAACAAATTAAATCAAGTCATTGGTACGAATCAATTTTATTTAAATATGATGAGACATGATTTCACAAAACTTTAAGAATGAAGCAATCAACTTTTTGGAAAATTGTTAATAAAATTCGTGATAATGAAATTTTTCAAAAAACACTTGTAGAAAAACAATTAGTAGTGGTTCTATTTCAATTAGGTAGAAAATTTACCATATGGGAAATTTGCTTCGGGTTTGAAATTGCAGAAATAACAGTTTTATTATTTACATTAAGAATCATTTCTGCTCTTAAACCACTAAAATCTCAAGCAATTATTTGGCTATGTGATAATTATCGCCTAGAAGTATATAGAGGTTTTGAAGATAAATATGGATTTCCTAATATTATCAGAGCTTTAGATAGATCACATATAAATTTATTTGAGGCTTCAAGTAAATTGAATAAAGATGTATATTTCACAAGAAAATGCTATTATGCTACACATTTGCAGGCAGTAGTCGATCATCAAGGATTATTTATATTTTATGATATTGGCTATCCAGCATCTGCTCATAATGCAAAAGTATTTCAAAATTCTAATCTTTATCATTGTAGAAATCAATTATTTGAAGAACAAGATTATTTATTAGGTGATTCTGCCTATCTGATTTCTTTAACTATTATTCTACCATTCAAAATCTTTAGAAAATAGACAAAACGATTTAACAAAAAGCATAGTCAGTCTTGTATAATCATAGAGCAAGCATTTGGTAGGCTAAAAAATAGATTTCAATTGTTAAAAGAGTTTAGAACTAGAGATACCAAAACTGCAATAGATCTTATTGAAATTTCTGTAACTTTGCATAATTTAGTAAAGCAATATAATAATATATGGGAATTTGAGGAAATAAATATAGACTGAATTCAGTATACTTCTACTAATTCATAACGTGATTAAGTAATTAAAAGGGCAGAAAATATTAAAAGATAAAATTTAATGGACATCGTTTTGTAAAACAAATATTATATTATGATATATTTACTTTTCATCTTTCTTATTACCTTTTAATTCTAATTCTCAGACTTTTAATTCAAATTCTTTATTTAATCTCTCCAATTCTAACTTGTATTTGAACTCCTATTCTTTTTCAAATTTTTTCTTTTCTCACTTTAATTTTTCTTGTTTAATTTGAAGCATAGTTTCTCTTTCTAACTTTTTTTTTTCACACTCAATTTCAAGTTTCATTGCATCTATTTTTAACCGTTCTTGTTCAATATCAATTGCTTTTTTTTTGTTTTATTAATTGAATTTAATGCATTCAAATAAATTTGATCTGTTTCAGAAATTTTTCATTTATTATGACTTGAGTATAGTTTATCTTCAGCATCACTATTACCATCAGACTATTAATAATTTAAATTATTATTGCATTTTTTTATTATATTAAGATTTGTGTATAAATATCTAATATAAATACCTTATCTATACCAATGCTGAACACTAAATAATCAGATTGAACATTTTCTCTATTACCAAAATCTCATTCATCTCATTAAAATATTGCCAATGAGATTTTCCTTTTCCAGTTTCTTCCTGATTTTCTTTCTCAAATTTTATAATTAACGTTTGAATTTTAGATTTTACTTGTGTACCAGTTTTTCTGTTTCCAATTTTTATTGCTGCTTTAGCGCAAAATTGAGTTTTTTTTGTACGAAATAAATCAAAATTATCAAAAAGAAAAGAAAGTAATGATTTAATTTTGAATCTGACTAACGTTGATTTTCGTTTTCACTATTTGTCAGTTCTAATGTTTGAAAGTTGATAATTGGTCATGTAATATTTGTGAAGAAAAAAGAGTATTTTTAGATGTAAAAGAATCATCAAAATGATTAGGAAAAATGTTATTAAAAGTAAACTTCTTTCATTTGCTCATTTTTCAAACGAAAATAAATAAGCAACTTACTCCTTTCCAATTTATAACTAATGAATTTGTGTCAATATTATCATTACTTTGTTTATTATTTAACGTCTGATAGAAAATTTCTCTATTATTTATTAAACATACTAATATTTAAAATTGAGAATTTATTATTTTCGTGAGCATTTTTGCTATTATTTATTAGATATGCAAATAACTAAATCAAGGCTTCTAAGATCTTTGTTGATGTATTACATATCCAAAAATTTTATTGTTAAAAAAAATTAAAAATAACTACTGTTACACATTGATTAAAAAGTATAAACATTATTAGGTGAGCATTTTCATTATTTTTACTGTGAAATGATAACCATACATATTTAGAAAATATTAAAATGAAAAAACTTCAGCAATTGTAAATATAAGTTTACACTTGAGTAAAAATTTATCATACTCTAAAACTGAAATAATATCAGCATCTATAAACGCAAGTTCACACTTGAGTAAAATTTAGCGCAGTATTTATTTTTTCGTTAGCAATGATCAAAAAATTTACTAACATTATGATGCATTATACACACCTCACATACTCATATATATGTAAAAAACAAATGCCTGAACTATAGAAAAATCTTTATTGATATTTATGTATGCGAAGTACAGATACAAAATCTTTATAATAGCTACATAGATTATTTTTATTATTTACTAGTTAACTAAAGAAAATGATTAATTCAGCAAATAGTGTGAAAAAGATATATTAATTTATAATACTTTGAATCTTATAGGTAAAATTTGTAGGTAATAATCATGAATACTCTTTACACTTTTAATCAATAGAAACATGATCTATAAGTAATACTAATAAACATTATTAGGTTATTCACAAATTTAATTAGATTGGATTGGATTGGATTTTCTAATCCATTTAGATTAGATTAGATTTTTATATAATCTAATCTGTATTCACAAATAAATGAATCAGATTATGAATTTTGTATAACATTATAAAAAAAGAGTTAACATTATTTAAATTAAATAAAAATTTGAACAATGAATATTCAAAGACATATTATAGTTTTTTCACTTGTATATCTAATTTTTTTAAATCAAATTGACTCTTCTTCTGAAGAAACATTTGATGATAACATTAATTTATCAATCTTTCATGAATGTATAAGTGTAATTGAAAGAAATAGTTCTTTAAGAATAGGTTACAGGTAAGCAAGAAGGACACGTAGTATTTGTTAGTTTAATAATATATGTAATAATTGGAAAAATGTAGAATTTAAGTGACATTTTAGAATAACAAAAACTACATTTGAATGATTATATACTGAAATAGCACCTTTATTATTACAAAAAAATAATCAAAGAGGTATCCTAAGAATTCCAATTAAACATAAAGTTTCATTAACTTTATGGTTTTTAGCTATTGGTCAAAGTTATAGAATACTTGGACAATTATTTGCATTAGAAGAATCAACTATATGCTATATTATTAGATCTGTTTTATATACAATTAAATATTACTTTCTTTCATCAAAAATTCAGTAAAAAATTGTTAATTAAATTTATTATTCTGATAATTAAAATATTTTAATATTCTTTTAAATTTAATAGATTTCCTAATAATCATGTTGAATTCAGTAAAATTACAAGAAATTTTAAAAGAAAAGCTGGTATTTCATATGTAGTAAGAGCAATTAATAGAAGTCATATTCCAATTAAAGTACCTAAATAATATCCTATAGATTATTATAATAGAAAAGATTGTTATTCTATTGTTTTACAAGCAGTTATCGATTCTTCTAGAAAGTTTATTGATATTTTGTAGGATATCCTAGCTCAACTCATAATATTAGAATATTTCATAATTCATCATTATATCATAAATTTAGTTTTTCTAACTCTTCAGTTATTCCTACAAATGCATATATTTTAGGCAATGCAGGTTATCCTTGTCAAAATTGGTTACTTACACCATATTGTGATAATAGAAGATTAGCAGTAATACAAATATATTATAATGTTAAATATTCTTAAACTCGTATAGGTATAGAATAAGCATTTAGAAGATTAAAATCAAGATTTAGGTGTTTAATTAATCCTTTAACAATGTTAATATAAATAGCTATTCTTATTATAACAGTAACTTGTATTCTTCATAATATTTGTAAAGAAAGACAAGAAGATATATTAGATGATAATGATTATTTTAACGATCAAAATAATTTTTAAACTTTATTAGATAATAATAATATCAATGGTGTAACTTATTTGACTAATTCTATTAGAGATAATTTAGCAAATTATCTATAGAATAAAAAAATTCAAAGAGATGTTAGAAGAAATAGATATAATTTTATTAGTGAAGGAGATGAAGAAGATAGCGAAACATCTGAATAAAATAAATAATTTTCACTTTATAAATTTTATGATTTAAACTTTATTTCATTATATTTTTTATAAAATATTAAAATTCATCAAAATGTGAGGGTAAAGGACTTTTAATATGTAAAGTATTGATGTTAGTATTATCAATTTTTAATTTGCGTAATATTATTAATTTGCATAGCATTGATTTGCAGAAT